AAAAAAAAAAAAAAAAAAAAAAATTAGCTGGATGTGGTGGTGCACACCTGTAGTCCAAGCTACTCAGGAGACTGAGGCACGAGAATCACTTGAACCCAGGAGGCAGAGGTTGCAGTGAGCCAAGATCATACCACTGCACTCCAGCCTGGGTGAGAGAGGGAGACTCTGTCAAAAAAAAAAATAGAAAGAAAGAAAAAAGAAAAAAAGAGGGGAAGGGAGGGGAGGGAAGGGGAGGGAAGAAGGGAAGGGAAGGGAAGGGAAAAAAAAAAAAAAGGAAGAAAGAAAGAAACACCCTAACACCTAGGTTTAACTTTATCTCTTACATCCTGAAAAAATCTAAGTATAACACTTGAAATAGTTGAACCACACTTCATGATGTTTTTCCGCTTGGCCCCATATTTGATCATGATTCAACAAGTATTTATAGAATATTGAACTGTGCAGGATGTTGTGGGAGAAATGGGGATAAATGAGGGCTTCTCATAGCCATCAAAGAGCTTCCACATCCATAATTGGGAGGCTGAGATGGGAGGATCACTTGAAGTCAAACATTTGAGACTAGCCTGGGCAACAAAGGGAGACGCCATCTCTAAAAATGTTTTTAATGAGCTGGGTGAGGTGGTGCACACCTGTACACCCAGCTACTTGGGAAGCTGAGGCAGGATCACTTGAGCCCAGGATTTGGAGGCTGCGGTGAACTATAATAACATCACTGCACTCCAGCCTGGGTAACAGAGCAAGATCCTTCATCTCTTAAAAAAAAAAATAAAAAGCTTCATGTCTGATATGATTTGTCTATATCTCCACCCAAATCTCACCTTGAATTATAATAATCCCCACATTTCAAGGGTGGGGCCAGATGGAGGTAATTGAATCATGGGGGTGGTTCCACCATACTGTTTTCATGGTATTAAATCCCACAAGACCTGATGTTTTTCATAAATGGGAGCCCTCCCTGCACAAGCTCTCTTGCCTGCTCCCATGTAAGATGTCCCTTTACTCTTCTTTCATCTTCCACCATGATTGTGAGGCTTCCCCAGCCAGATAGAAATTTGAGTTTATTAAACTTCTTTCCTTTATAAATTACCCAGTCTTAGGTATGTCTTTATTAGCTGTGTAAGAACAGATTAATACAAGGTCCAAACCTGATATTATCTCTGGCTAGGATAAGTATAATAGTTACAACCTGTAACCTAAGACCCTTCTTCCCCTGACACTCTGATTCTTTTTAAATGTGGGAAATTATTTCTGATAAATTGAATGTGGCCTCTAGATTTGAAAAATTTAGGTTCAAGTGTAGATGACATACAATTTTAGGGAAACACAGAGGTTGAGTTATTTTGATTACCAGATAAAGATGGCCTTACCAGTTTTCAAAATAAGTTAAAATTAAGAGATTTTAATTCCTTTGATTTTTTTTTTCTTTTTTTCTTTTTCCCCAAAGAGTCTGATCCAGGTGAACACTCATTCTGGAAACTGATTGCCTTACCCAAAATTGGCCTTATAGCCTTCGTCATCAACTCACTCAGTTCGTGTTTTGGCTTCCTTGATCCTACTCTGTCTCTCTTTGTTTTGGAGAAGGTAGGTTGCCCTATTGCTGAAGAGTGCTGCATGGTAGCAGGTGGATGTAACTGCTTGTTCTTGGGCCCTGCTTTGTGAAAAGATCCTTGCACGGCTGTGAGAAGGATGCAGGACGGGCACTACACACTGACATAGCCTGTCCCTCTCTGCCATCCCTGTGAACTGGGGACCTGATTTAGTAAAAATGAAAGAAGTCTTTCACTAAGTGGCCAAAACACTGGTTTCCTCCTTTCCAAGACCTTGCTTATGCCATTGCAGGTCTAGCTTGGGCATCGTCCATGCTGCTTAACAAGGACACATTTCCTCTATTTGTTTGAATTGCAGTAAGACATTAGGGGTGCACAGTAGTTCATTTGATGTGAGATGTGCTGCTTCTGTAATAGATCTTCCCTAGGTCCACTTACTTTTTAGGCTACTTCATATAATCAAATGACTATGAACTACATTATTCTTGAAATGGAGAAAGGAACCAAGAATCTGTAGCATTAAAAAATAATATGTTGAGGCCGGGCACAGTGGCTGATGCCTGTAATCCCAGCACTTTGGGAGGCTGAGGCGGGCGGATCACCTGAGTTCGGGAGTTCGAGACCAGCCTGACCAACATGGAGAAACCCTGTCTCTACTAAAAATATGAAATTAGTTGTGTGTGGTGGCACATGCCTGTAATCCCAGCTGCTTGGGAGGCTGAGGCAGGAGAATCGCTTGAACCCGGGAGGCAGAGGTAACAGTGAGCCGAGATCGCGCCACTGCACTCCAGCCTGGGCAAAAAGAGTGAAACTCTGTCTCCAAAAAAAAAAAAAAATTGTTGAATTCTGAAAGTTTGATGTCATCGAAATTTGTTCTTAGATATTTTTGGAAAAATATTTTTCCTGATACATTAAAGTCCATTACCAGGTATGGTAGTTAATTACACTGGAGAATTAATATGTTTTGATAAAGCACAAAAATGACTAACTTTAGCCAATAATGACTTTATTGGAGGCACTAGATTTAAAGTAACACAAAAACTTAAGTTTCAATACAGTTTCTAATATGATCAATAAAGTTTCTAATCATTTCAAATACTTTCTGAACATTTACCTATCATAGAATGTAAAGATTAAAATTAATTTTTGTTATAATTTTTTTTAACTTTTTTTTTTCTTTTTTTAAGACGGGGTTTCACTGTGTTGGTCAGGCTGGTCTTGAACTCCTGACCTCAGGTGATCCGCCCGCCTTGGCCTCCAAAGTGATTGGATTACAGGCGTGAGCCACCACTGCTATAATTTTATACTACCCCTTAAAATCACTAAAGACAGTTTGGGGTACTTTACAGGTAAACTTGGGGACTGTTATTTTAGTGCCTGGTCCAAGACTTACAGAGTATTATAATATTGCCTTTAGCCAGTGAGTATCCATAAGGTACTCATAAGAAAAATGGTTTGTGATTATGGTGACACAGTCCATTTAGATCATCAACAACCTGTACTTTTGAGCCATTTTTCTGTGCTTTTAAGAAGCTGTGTCTAAACAATGAAAATCTATAATCTCTGGGAAATCCAAGTTGTTTGTGTATATCTTATAAGAAATCTTTTTTTGTTGTTGTTTCTCAAGTAAATGTAATTCATTTTAAAAAGACGAGGAAGACAGGAGGTTTCCTCAAAGATAACTATAGATGACCCATCTGTGACATGGGAGGTAGTATAGGCCCTGCTTGCTTCTGGCTGATGATGGACTGTACCAGACCTTTTTTTTTCTTTTGAGACAGTCTCACTGTGTCACCCAGGCTGGAGTACAGTGGCAAAATCTCGGCTCACCACAGCCTCTGCCTCCCGGGTTCAAGCTATTGTCCTGCCTCAGCCTCCTGAATAGCTGGGATTATACGCATGCACCACCACACCAGGCTAATTTTTGTATTGTTTAGTAAAGGCGGGGTTTCATCATGTTGGCCAGGCTTGTCTCAGACTCCTGACCTGAAGTGATCCACCTGCCTCTGCCTCCGGAAGAGCTGGGATCACAGGCGTGAGCCACCCCACCAGGCCTTACAACAGACTTTGCTCCCTCAGGGCTGTTGGTGGAGCCTTACCACTGCCACTCCCTTTTCAGGTTGAAGTGCTGCGGCCCATCCTATTAACCAACTCCAACCTAAGAAATTTTTTTTTTTGAGGTGAAATCTCGCTCTGTCCCCAGGCTGGAGTGTAATGGTAAAATCTCAGCTCACTGCAACCTCTGCCTCCTGGATTCAAGCAATTCTCCTGCCTCAGCCTCCTGAGTAGTTGGGTTTACAGGCGTGTGCCACCACGCCAGGCTAATTTTTGTATTTTTAGTAGAGATGGGGGTTTCACCATGTTGTTCAGGCTGGTCTTGAACGTCTGACCTCATGATCCTCCTGCCTCGGTCTCTCAAAGTGCTGGGATTACAGGTGTGAGCCACCACGCCTGGCCCAACCTAAGAAATATTTAGAAATTTATTTTCCTCTTTTTTCTGAATCAGAAACCCTATGGTTGGAATCCAAGAACCTCTCTTAGCAAGTTCTCCAGGTAATTTTTATGCACATTAAAGTCTGCAAAACATTAATTTACATATCAAAATGCTCTGAGTTATGGAAGCAAAATATGTTTAATGTCAAAGGCTACAAAGCAAAAAATCTACTCTTCTGACATCTGCTTAGGTTGTTCCCTCATAGAGAAAAAGTTATGCATTTTCAAAGGTAAGACAAAAATTAGGAAAAATGCAGAATATTATTAGTAGACTCATGGTAATAACAAGAGCTAAAGAAATGGTAGAAGGAAAATAGGGATGTTGATTTTAAAATGACTTAATTATGTAACTTTAATACGGGATTTCTTTTACAGTTTAATTTACCAGCTGGATATGTGGGACTAGTATTCCTGGGTCTGGCATTGTCCTATGCCATCTCTTCACCACTGTTTGGTCTCCTCAGTGATAAAATGCCAGTATGTACACTTAATTTATATTTGAGTCACTTTTGTATGTTTAGAGTAGTGGTTTTCCAACTGTTCCTTTGGAACTCTAGGGGTCCACTGGTTAGAACTGATATATTCAGTTGGACTGATGGAGAGGTTTCAGTGTCTTCTATCACCCTAAGGGTCGGTTATCACTCTAAGCCAATTCACTTTATTTTTATTTATTTATTTTTTTGAGACGGAGTTTCACTCTTGTTACCCAGGCTGGAGTGCAATGGCGCGATCTCGGCTCACCGCAACCTCCACCTCCTGGGTTCAGGCAGTTCTCCTGCCTCAACCTCCTGAGTAGCTGGGATTACAGGCACACGCCACCATGCCCAGCTAATGTTTTTTTTGTATTTTTAGTAGAGACGGGGTTTCACCATGTTGACCAGGATGGTCTCGATCTCTTGACCTCGTGATCCACCCGCCTCGGCCTCCCAAAGTGCTGGGATTACAGGCTTGAGCCACCGCGCCCGGCCGCCAATTCACTTTAAATTGCTTCACCTGTGAAAAGAGGAAGCGTCTTATGCTTAAAAAAGAAAGAAACGAAGAAAGAAAACTATTGGATTAGACTTTCTTCTTCAATTTCTTACCTCCACTTTGTCATCCAGGCTGGAGTATAGTGGTGTGATCATTGCTCACTGCAGCCTTGAACTCTTGGGCTCAAGTGATACCTCCAGCATCAGACTCCTAAGTAGCTGGGGCTATAGGCATGTGCCACCACATCTGGCTCCTGGATTATACTCTCTAAAGGAAAAAACTCTCGTAATGCAAAAACATGGATTGATCTTAATAAAAAGAGCAGAGTCCTAGAGGCTACTATGGAGTTGATCAAATTGAGAGATTCTTCTTTAGGAGGAGATAATTTAGATTTTCTGAGTGAAAGAACTGACCACGTAAATACACTGGTTATCCCATAGCTATTTTTTTTTTTTATGAAAAGTTTTTTTTTTAAAAAAAAAAGAAGAAAAAAAGGAATGAAGGAGAGGAAGAAAGAGAAAGAGGAAGAGGGAGAGAGAATGGGGGTGTTGCTTTACTGCCCGGGCTAGAATGCAGTCTAAAAAAGCCCATAATTGTGCTTAATAATAGAGATGTGAAAAAATAAATGAGGGAAGAAAACAACAAACAAGCAGCCAACCAACATTTCATTGAAACCTGTAAACAGATGTGATATGGTACTGATAATAGTGTGTATTTTATATATTTAAAGTGGAGAGTTCTATAAATGTTAACTAAGTTTACTTGTTCCGGATCTGAGTTCAAATCCTGGATATCGTTGTTAATTTTCTGTCTCATTGATCTGTCAAATATTGATGTTGAAGTCTCGCACTATTATTGGGCGGGAGTCTAAGTCTCTTTATAAGTCTTATATATCTGGGTGTTCCTGTATTGGGTGTGTATATATTTAGGATCTTTAGCTCTTCTTGTTGCATTGATCGTTTCATCATTACGTAATATCCTTCTTTGCTTCTTTTGATCTTTGTTGCTTTAAAGCAACTCCTGCTTTTTATTTATTTGTTTATTTTTGCTCTCCATTTGGTTGGTAAATCTTTCTCCATCCCTTTGTTTTGAGTCTTTGTGTATCCTTGCATGTGAGATGGGTCTGGATGCAGCATACCGATGGGTTTTGGCATTTTTTGCCTGTCTTTGTCTTTGGATTGGGGGATTTAGTCGATTTAAATTTAGAATTAATAACAATATATGTGATTTTAATACTGCCATTTAATGTTAGCTGGCTGTTTTGCCTATTAGTTGATGTAAATTCTTGATTATGTTGATGCTCTTTACTTTTTGGTATTTTTTAGAAAGGCTGATACTGGTTGTTCCTTTCTATGTGTAGTGGTTCTTTCAGAAGCTCTTGTAAAGCAGTCCTGGTGGTGATGAAATCTCTGAGTCCTTGCTTGTTCACAAAAGATTTTATTTTTCCTTCGCTTATGAAGTTTAGTTTGGCTGGATGTAAAATTCTGGGTTGAAAGTTCTTTTCTTTAAGGATGTTGAATATTGGCCCCCACTCTCTTCTAGCTTGCAGGGTTTCTGCTGAGAGATCTGCTGTGAGTCTGATAGGCTTCCCTTTATGGGTAACCTGACCTTTCTCTCTGACTGCCCTCAGTATTTTCTCCTTCATTTCAACCCTGGTGAATCTGGCGATTATGTGCCTTGAGGTTGGTCTTCTTGAGGAATGTCTTTGTGGTGTTCTCTGTATTACTTGGAGTTGAATATTGTCCTGCCTTGCTAGGTTGGGAAAGTTTTCCTGAATAATATCCTGAAGTGTATTTTCCAGCTTGGATTGATTCTCTTCGTCACATTCAGGTACACCTATCAAGCGTAGATTAGGTCTTTTCACATAGTCCCATATTTCTTGGAGACTTTGCTCGTTCCTTTTTATCCTTTTTTCTCTAATCTTGTCTTCTTGTTTTATTTCATTAAGTTGGTCTTTGACTTCTAATATCTTTTCTTCTGCTTGATTGATTTGGCTGTTAAAACTTGTGCATAGTTCGCGAAGTTCTCATGTTGTGTTTTTCAGCTCCATTAATTCACTTATATTCCTCTCTAAATTGTGTATTCTTATTAACATTTCGTCAAACCTTTTTTCAAAGTTCTTAGTTTCTTTGCATTGGTTTAGAACAAGTTCTTTTAATTCACAGAAGTTTCTTATTATCCACCTTTTGAAGCCTGCTTCTGTTAATGGAACACACCAGTTCTCCATCAGGCCTTGTTCCGTTGCTGATGAGGAACTGTGATCCCCTGTAGAGAGAGAGGCATTCTGATTTTGGATATTGTCAGCCTTTTTAGGCTGTTTTCTTCCCTTCTTTATAGATTTATCCATCTGTGGTCTTTATAATTACCGTCTTTATAATTGGGTTTCTGAGGGGACGTCCAACTTGTTGATTCCCGGCACTAAAATCTGAGCAACCCACTGCGCCGGCCAAAACAGCGGCATTATGATTGATGGTGCTTTTATTCTGCACCAAGAACTGCAGCACCAAGGCAGTGGCAAAACCACCTAGCCGGCTACAAGAGTCCCGCTGGCGACCCATGGGGCTCCTCCGCTGGGAATCTCCGGGTGCATGAGCAACAAAAATTCGTCTGAAAGTGTGGCGTCCTCTCATTCTCTGTGCTTTCACTGGGAGCTACAATCCTGAGCTGCTAGTGATCAGCCACCTTGGATCTCTCTCCCATAGCCTTTCTGATGAAAAACTTCTTCTGTTCTCTTTCAACTAGGTTTAAACCATTCAGTCCAGATGACAGAAGTACAGAATTAGTACTGTTAGTCAAATCTCAAACTTCTGTGGCTTTAAGGCTTATATTTTGTATTTCCATCTTTATTTGATTTGCTCATATATTTATCAAGAACAAAATTACTTGTGGATTACTTTGTAACCCAGATGACAAAAAGCAGGTATCTTAAACAGTGTTTGGAGCTTGGTTTTCAGACATAATCTTACATAACTGAGCAGATATGGTACCCCTGTAATTTTTGTACTGATTCAAGTAGTTTATAAGGGATAAATTTATTGGGCACAATCTTAGTCCATTCAGGATACTACAGCAACATACCATAAACTGAGAGGCTTTATAAACAACGGAAATGTGTTTCTCATAGTTGTGGAGACAGAGCTGTTCAGGATTAAGGCACGGGCAGATTTGATGTCTGATGAGGGCCTGTTGCCTGGCACACAGACTGTCGTCTTTCACTCTACCCTCATCATGATGGAATGGGCACGGGAGCTCTCTAGGGCCTCTTGTATACGGTTGGGAACTAATCCTATACATGAAGGCTGCACCTTCATTACCTAATCCCCTCCCAAAGGCGCACCCCTGGATACCATCGCATTGGGTGTTAAGATTTAACATATAAATTTTGGGGGGACAGAAGCATTCAGCCTCTAGTAGGTAATTTTTTAATAATATGATTTTTTTTTTAGGTATTGTAACTATTAATACTTGGTGGGGATTTTTTGGTGGTCACTGCTGTTTTTCTTTCTCTTTGAGACAGTTTTGCTTTGTCACAAGGATGGAATGCAGTGGTATCATCTCAGCTCACTGCAACCTCTGCTTTCCAGGTTCAAGCAATTCTCCTGCCTCAGCCTCCCAAGTAGCTGGAATTACAGATGTGCACCACCATGCCCAGCTAATTTTTGTATTTTTTAAGTAGAATCAGGGTTTCACCATGTTGGCCAGGCTGGTCTCAAACTTGTGAGCTCAAGCGATCTTCCCGCCTCGACCTCCCAAAGTGTTGGGATTACAGGTGGTGTGAGCCACCGTGCCTGGCCCGTCACTGCTTTTTATAGTTAGTTTTTTCATTGCTATATTTGGAATAGTTCATCATGTGCAAAATCTGATCTGCAATCCACTCCCCTGCTAAGAAATCTTTGTCCTTTGTTCGCTTTCTGTCTTGTTATATATTGCCCTTGCTTTCGAGTTTATCGCCTACTTATTTTCTCTTAAATGTAAAGTTTTGTTTTCTTCATTACACGACTTGTGTTCTTTACTAATGTTTTACATTGTTTGATTACCGAGGGTCTTCACCTCCAAGAATCACTTTGACTCTCTTTCTCCTTACCAGCATCTAAGGAAATGGCTTCTAGTGTTTGGAAACTTAATCACTGCTGGGTGCTACATGCTCTTAGGGCCTGTCCCGATCTTGCATATTAAAAGGTAATGTTTTTCTTCTTCTGTATGTTTGGGCAAATAACATTAGGAATTATTTATAAAACTTTTGTTGTAACACTGGTGTAGTTTAGTATTTTGAGCCTTAATATTTAAATAATTAACGTTAGGACTCTATTGAGTTGTTAGGCTGACAATATGTGACCCTACTAGAAGCTAGCAGTGGGACAAGCAGAAAAAAAATGCATAAAATCAGTCTCAGATGACAAAAATGCGTATTCTCCTTCTGTGTTTCAATTGTACATACTTGTTTATACTTTATTTTTAAAATAGCATGTATTGCTTTCTACCTTTTAGTTGATAGTTCTTAGAATATATTTTTGTTTTTTCTGTTTGTCTTCCTTATTCCTTGAGGCAGGGACCAAATCTGTTTTTGTTTCTGTATAGACTTACCATGTATTAGCTGCTTATTAAACCTTGCTTAATATAATTTAGTTGCTAAAATAAACTGAATTTCTTAGACGTTTTGAGGTACTTCTGGGATAAAACATGGTAACATGGAGCGAAAGGGATTTCAGAGTCCTTCAGACTTGAGTGTATATTTTGCCTTTGCCATGTGCTATTAGTGTGAACTTGGGCAAATCACTTAACTTCTAAGAGCCTCGGTTTTCTCATCTACCAACAGGAGCTGATAATAGTACTTACGTCACAAGGATTAAATCTGATAACATATACTAAGTAACTGGCATGGTCTCCTCACATGGAACAAATGTGTCCCCTGACTCTTTTACTTCTTTCCTTCTATGCCATTTTTAAATTAATTGAAGTTCAAAGCCAGGTGATTGAAAGAACTGTGTTAGTATTGACATTTTTACCAATTTTGAAGGGATTTTGCCTGGTGAGAAGCCAGGCTGGTTCCAGACATGATACATGTGACCAAAGGACCAAAGAAATGGAGATAATCAGGGTGAATTTTCACCCCCAAATTGTAAGGAGCCAAAGGGCTCCTAACTGAATGAAATGAGTTAGATGGGAAGAGAATGAGACTAGGCACGTAATCAGTGAAATTAACTTCTCTGGGAGCCTAACTTCCTTAGCATTTAAAACTTCGTGTTTCTTAAAACGCTAATATTTTTCTTTTTGTTTTTATTTTCTCCAAAACCCTTTCGCAGTCAGCTCTGGCTGCTGGTGCTGATATTAGTTATAAATGGCATCTCTGCTGGAATGAGTATAATTCCAACTTTCCCGGAAATTCTCAGTTGTGCATAGTAAGTTAAATCCAATGCTTGAAGAGCTGTATTGTGAGTAAGTAGTAAGTATCACAGGCTTTCTTCAATTTCTCAATTTTGCAGCATGTTGGATATTTTTGCCCCAATGTTAAATCTTCATGATTTTGTAGCCTATGATATGATGATGTACATAGTAATAATACACTAATAGAAATGATAATAGTACTCCTAATACAGTAATAGCTAAAATGGGTTGAGGACAGATGTCTGGCTTGGTTTATGCCTCAGTATATATGTAATTTTGAAAAGCTAAAGCAAAATAAACAGGTCTCAGCACTGTTCCTCGTTCAGGGAGGAGGTCCATGCCAAAGCCTAGGTGACCAGGCATCTGTCACCTGGTCATTGTTCTTTTGTTTAATAGGCGTGATGATGAAGGACACTTAAGTACTGTGGCTGTGCTGGGTCAATTCAACAGTTCTCATAGGAATAAGGAGCTATCTCTGTTTTTTAAAAGTTTCCTTAGTTCTCTTTTCATCTTTTTCTCATTTTAAGAATGTTTTAGTAATATATTTTTATAAGCATTTAATGCAAATGAGCAATGCTGCTTTTTTTTTTTTTTTTTTTGAGACAGAGTCTTGCTCTGTCACCCAGACTAGGGTGCAGTGGTATGATCTAGGCTCACTGCAACACTCTGCTTCCTGGGTTCAAGCAATTCTCCTGACTCAGCCCCCGAGTAGCTGGGATTATAGGAACATGCCACCACGCCCAGCTAATTTTTTAAATTTGTATTTTAGTAGAGATGAGGTTTCACCGTGTTTTTCAGGCTGGTCTCGAACTCCTGAGTTCAGGCAATCTGCCAGTCTCAGCCTCCCAAAGTGCCAGGATTACAAGCATGAGCCACTGTGCCCAGCCTCTTCTTAATATTAATATATGTAGAAAAATTATTTCTAGAAAACCATGGAGTGAATGTAACTATGAAAATTTTTTTAAATTAGATTTGCTTTTATGTTAGGAGTGTTCTTGCTGTTGGTCCAGATGATCCCTGGTTTATCTTAATTGATCTATCATACAATTTTTTCTTTCACACAGGTTTTCCTTTTAATAATGGACACACTCATGTCTCTTTTTGCAGTGAAAATGGGTTTGAAGAGGGATTAAGTACATTGGGACTCGTATCAGGTCTTTTTAGTGCAATGTGGTCAATTGGGTGAGTAGTCATTTAATTTCTTTCTTTCTTTCTTTGTTGAGACAGAGTTTCACTCTTATCACCCAGACTGGAGTGCAAGGGTACAGTCGTGGCTCACTGCAACCTCCACCTCCAGGTTCAAGAGATTCTTCTGTCTCAGCCAGCTGAGTGGCTGAGATTACAGACGCCCACCGCCACGTCTGGCAAATTTTTGTGTTTTTAATAGAGACAGCGTTTCACCATGTTGGCCAGGCTGGTCCTGAACTCCTGACCTCAGGTGATCTGCCCTCTTTGGCCTCCCAAATGCTGGGATTACAAGTGTGAGCCACTGCACCTGGCCTCATTTAATTTCATTCACACCTGTAAGATGGAAGATATTAATACTATCCCCGCTTTAGTTGATGAAGAAATTGAAACACTGAGCGATCAGATGGGTTTCTCAAAGACAGTTCATCTAGGGCAGAGCCAGAATTCTAATCCATACCCTCTCACTCCACAATCAATGCTAATACCAGCAGTTTTAATACTTAGTCAAAATGGTTTCATGTACTTTATCTTATTTAAGTGATATTTATAAGTTCCTTTAATAGAAACATGTTTCTAATTATTACAATTTTTTTCATTTATTCATTTGTTTATATTTTTACCTTCTACCAGAACGGTAACTATGCTAACAATGTAATATATTATTTTGAATTCAGTTATATTGGTTGCAAGTACTGAGAATAGAATAATATAAAGAATTTTTTAAACTGGTTACATCGTTTTAATTTTTATATAAGCTGCCAACTTTTCAGAAGCACTAATAATTTCACAATTGTTTAAAAATGTTGAATATCGTAATCAGGTAGACTTATTTTCTTTTACTCAATGCTGTGCCCAGGAATTAACTTTTTCTTTAGTACTTACATTCCAATTTAAGGAAGACTTACAATTGAAGGATCATGTAGCTTTTATGAAGTAATTATTATTTTTTGCGCTATTGAATACTTTTTCTTTTTTCTATTGTTAGTGGTTTTATAGGACCGACGCTGGGTGGATTTCTGTACGAGAAAATTGGTTTTGAATGGGCAGCGGCTGCACAAGGTCTATGGGCACTGATAAGTGTGAGTAACCAGTCTTTTATTTTCATTTTTCTTATATTTGTGGAAAAACTTGACTTGGAAAATTTACATTAATCAGTACATTTGATTGTGTTTAAGGGATTAGCCATGGGCTTGTTTTATCTACTGGAGTATTCAAGGAGAAGAAGGTATGATCAATTTTTGGGCTTTTTTCTCTCTTTAAAAGTTAGCCAGTGCAAGTGGAAAATAAGTAACATTTTACAGCCATAACAAATCCAGTCAGTGGATTTCTAGGCACTCTGAGGCTTATCAGTTGGTAGATACTTTTTTAAATTTTTATTTGTTGAGATGGTGTCTTGCTCTGTCACCAGACTGGCATGCGGTGACATAATCTCAGGTCACTGCAACCTCTGCCTCCCAGGTTCAAGTGATTCTCCTGCCTCAGCCTCCCACGTAGCTGGGACTACAGGCATGAGCCACCATGCCCTGCTAATTTTTGTATTTTTGATAGAGACAGGGTTTCACTGTGTTGGCCAGGCTGGTTTCGAATTCCTGACCCCAAATGATCCATGTACCTCGGCCTCCCAAAATGCTGGGATTACAGGCCTGAACCACTGCACCTGGCCAGTAGATGCTTTTTAAATAAGATAGCTGGATGAAGATACAGGTACTGAGTTTTCTGTTTTGTTTTGTTTTTGTTTTTTAAGATGAGAAATACTGAGATTCATTTCTTCTTTCCCTCAATGTAGGACTAAATCTCAAAATGTCCTCAGCAAAGAGGAGGAACAAACTACTCTCTTGCCTAATGACACCTAGCCCTATGGATTCCTGGATTGACACAAGGTTGAGAGATGAATGCTCCTGGCCTTAAACATCACCGTAGGAAGGGTTTTTAAAATTTTACACACACAACTCCATAGACCCCATGCCAGTATCTTGGAAGTGTCAACGTGTTTTTGGATGATCTTGTATTGCACTGTACTTACTGTGATACTGACAGTTTGTAGTATGCCCTGTTGAACCAGCTATACTTGAAATATTAATTATGAAAGAGGTAGTTGAAAACAAGCAAAAAAAAAAAAAAACAAAAAACACTTGTTTTTAAGTGACCGAACATGTCCTTGAAGATGTTGTTATTGAGTTACTTGTCTTGTTTCCTCTGTTTATTTTTTATTCTAAGTACTGCTGATTCTGTGAATGTATCTTTTTTATTAACCGGGAAAGAAATGAATTAATTTTATATGCTCTAAATACTTAAAGATGCTTCAAAATATATAGAAACATTACTATGAAATCAGTTTTTAAAAGATATACTTTCTCATTGTCCTGAGGTTTTTGGTCTTGTTTGAAAGAAAGAATTCTTCCCTGCCATACAGAAACTCTCTAGTACTCCCTGGCCTCAAGTTTTTCTAAAAATTCTGCTTGTGTGAAAAGTACAAGAATAACAATACTTACAATTTCCATTTTTGTAACCTACTTTCAATTATGATCTGGATTTATAAACATTACTTGGTATAATGTTGTTCATTTCCTTTAAGGTCTCTGTTTTTTGGTTCTACTGTCTGTTTTGTTTTTGTTTTTATCCATATTCTTGGTGAATGTATTTCATCCCTAGAGCAGGTCAGCCTTTTTCCCCTAATGCGAATGCTTGTTCTGTTAGGGAAGGGCTTCGCCAAATTCGTGTGAAATCCATGCTGTTGTTTGAAATGAATAAATGTCTATTATGTAACTCTCACACTTCTTGATCTATTTGCATGGCATAGTAGCCACATCTATAGTAATTTTTTTTAAAGAAGAAATGGTTTTATCTATTCATTCAAAAATATCTTTTGAATGCCTTCTCTGGGCAGACACTGTGCCAGATGCTAGGCATTTGGCTGTAATCAAGATAAACACAATCTCTACACACAATTTTTGCTTTTTTTTTTTTTGAAATGGAGTCTCCCTCTATCACCCCGCTGGAGTGCAGTGGTGCAATCTTGGCTCACTGCAACGTCTGCCTCCCAGGTTCAAGCAATTCTCCTGCCTCAGCCTCCTGAGTAGCTGGGACTACAGGCACCCAGCACCACACCTGGCTGGTTTTTGTATTTTTAGTAGAGACGGGGTTTTACCGTATTGGCCAGGATGGTCTCGATTTCCTAACCTCATGATCCGCCCGTGTCGGCCTCCCAAAGTGCTGGGATTACAGGTGTGAGCCACCTCGCCTGGTGTAATCTCTGATTTTATGTAACTTATGCTAGTGGAAGAGACAAACAACAAATAAATATCAGACTCTCCAATTATCTTACAGAAATGCTAGGAAGGAAAAAAAAAAAACATGGTGATGTGATAGAGTAGTTGGCTGGGGTTGTTTAGATGTGAGTGCCTAATTTGAAAAAGTCCATGGAAGTGGGACCTTTGAGTTAAGATCCGAAGGAGGAGAATGTGACCACCATTCATTCTGACAGTTTGTAGTATGTGCACAATGGCTTGGCACGGTCAAAGGAGGTTCTATGATCTTGTCCTGCCTCCCTGCCTGGCTGCCACCCCAATAGGAAAAGGAGTGGGGGCGTGATTCACTTTTCAGGGAAATGCCAAGCTGTTTTCTAGAGTGGCTGTACCATCTTAGATTCCCAACAGCAATGTGTGAGTAATAGTTACACAGCAGGTTGTTTAGCTTAAAAATAATAATAATAATAATAGAATGGTGCATGAAATAGGTGGAATGAGAGCTTTTGATCAGAAAGAATCTATGGTGCAATTGGAGGGAATGCCTTCAAGATTAGCAAGTAGAAACAGAATTAAGTTCATATTTTAGGAGAAACCATTCAGATCAGGTTGACCTGGAAGAGAAGAAATTCAAAAGACTTTGTGGAGACAAAACAATGCAAAAATAAAGAAGCAGACACATTGACACTCTTTTAACAAGACAGTAATCAAGAACAGGTGGGTATCTCACCAGGGAGAGTTAAAGACCTGGGTCAAAGCTGTCTTGGGCATGGCCCTTGTAATAGGGCCTCCATCTTGTAGGAATGAAGCAATAGTAGTAACAGTAAAAATTATTCAGCATATATCACCATTTTGCAGATAAGGAAAACTGAGGCACAGAGAGGGCACATAACGTGCTCACAGTCACATAGCTAGGAAGTGGTTCAGACCCAGGCATTCTGGCCTCAGAGTCGATGTTCATGTTAATTATTACTAGATACCACCATGACCCTTATAACTTACAGTGAGAAAAAAGCTTACCATAACTAGAAACAGGACCATACACAATTTAGTTCTCTCTAATTTGAAGGACAGTCTAGAGTGGGATCTGTGTTATAGTAAAAGAATAATGTGCTAAAGAGGAAAAATTTGACATGAATATGAGAGTCAACTTCAGCTTTGTAGGCTAGAGAATCTCCAGCTTCTATTGCTGTGGTTTTTCTGCTGAACTTGGTTCAGTAGAAACCGTGTCAATGCACCTGGCCTGTGTCATCTGGCCCATACAGCTCCTTGAAAGAAAAGCTCAGGAATCAGAATTGCCAGGCTAGCATAAAATAGACACTCCATCTGGTGTCTGACTGAAGATGCAGCATCCTTGAACCAGCTGCTGCTGGGACGCCTCTCTGTTATCCCAGAGAGTACAGCCTGCCCGGAAAGTGAAACCAAAACAGGAAGTCACCAGGGGTAACTGGAGGAGCAGGGGCCTTGGAAAGGAAAGCAGCGGAGATCCAGAGGAGTGGAAGGCTCCCCTTTGACGGAAGGGGTAAGTAGTTATCTTGGGCTGCAAACATACTTTTTCGTTGCTTCCTTGCTCACTGGAAATGAACAAGTGGCATTATTGGTGAATTACTGTGACATTCTCACATTGCTCAATAAAACATAAACTTTTCTATTTTTAATCTGTCTTTTTTTATGTCTGAGAGTTCTCTTTTATTTCTGTACCATACCCTTTCAAATGCACGTCTCTCCAACTGCCTACATAAATCAACGAGTGACTTGGCTCCAGTTCCTGTGGGTTTATTTCTGTGGTGGCAGTCATCCTGACTTTACCAAAAGCTTTTAATGCAATCAAGAGAACTTCCTAAAAGGACCTGCTGATGAATGCAAGAAACTTTTAGCAGTTAATAGATTGGCATAGTGGATGGAACTATGAGATTAATATTGTGTTTTTTTTTTGTTTTTTTTTTGTTTTTTTTTTTTTTTGAGATGGAGTTTCGCTCTTGT